GCGTCTATCGTTGTTGGGGTTGTTACAATAAGACGGGGGATGCATTTTGTGACCCCCAGCATAGGGAAGCTGGGGTGCACGAATGGAGAAAACTGGCCACGTGTTCGCACGTTGGGCCGCCATTTTGCGCGCACGCGGGGTATGGCGACGATGCGCTTTGCGGAAAGGGCCGCCATTTTGAGTGCGCGCGAGATATTGCGCGAACGCGCTGGGCGAAGGAGGACGCCATTTTGAGCGCGCGGGATAAACCGAGGTGGGGCAAATATTCCATCTGTTATGCCTGCCATTGTTGATTGGGTGATGCATGAGTTGTGGTCACATCGGCCTATGGCTGATGGCTGACCTGACAGCCCGGAGGCGAAACCTCCGTGGTATGTCTTAAACTAATGGGCCATGTGCTCATATGGCTCGGGGAGTCATGGTTCAGTTGTGCGGTGGCAGACTGAACCTGGTGTGCCTGGGGCTCACGGGATCTGGGTTAGGGTGTTATTGTCTCTATAAGAGAACATTGCCCCGTGGGGGGAGTCCATGGGGTCTGGCATTGCCGGGGGATGAACCTTCCCTGGGCTATAAAGCATCAGGCTATACGAGGCTGGTGTGTGTCCATCTCTGATGGGATAGTAAGGGAGGAGCATGGCCGAGTTGCTGCTCATCCCCGAAATTGCACTAGCTGAGAGTATGGTCAGTGGATGTTGCTGTGGGTTGACGACCACGGTGGGGGTTAGGGCGAGTTAAACGTTACCGCTGGGGAGCGTGGCTCTCTCCACGCGAGGGTGTGCGACTGGGGGCTTTGCTGAGAGTGACCGTGGGTACATGCTGTGTACGTGCGATGTCTGTGCTGGTCCTCAAGGGAGGATTGCTGGTGGGTAAGAGCAGGAAATTTTGTTGTTGTTGTTGTTGTCACGTGTAAATAATATTGTTGTTAAAATGTAAATACTGGGGCATCCATCGCGTTTATTTTGGGTATTTATGGGGGTTTTTTTTAAGCGGGCCGGATTTACATCATCTCCACTACCCTGGGGCCGGGTGGCTGTCGTGTACGACATGTGGATGTGCGTTGTTGTGTTGTGCCTCAGGGGATTGGATTCTCCTTCTCGTCACAGATCTTCAGCTCCCGTCGCACTGGGTGTTACCTGGTGTGCTAGCTGGATGAGGACTTGAAGGAGCAATTGAGCGCCGTTCGTCATTCTGCTCTACCACTTGCTCTTGATGTTGGACTTGAGCCGAGCGGATGGAACAACAACATGGACACGCTTTGAGACACCACATTTCTGGGTTGTGCGCGTGTGCTATTTTTGCGTGTTGGTGGCCGTTGTTGTGCTTTGTGCTATTATTATTCTTGTTGTTCTGTTCCGGTTCCTGATCCTTCCCCTTTTGTTACTTGTTGTTGTTGTTATAAGGTCTATTGTGTCTGGGGGACTCCTGGTTGTGATGCCTTCGCCCGCATTATTTTGTTCTGTTTCAGCCGAGGACGGCTGGAATTTTCTCTACGGGGGAGGGTAGTGTAATGCGGGCGTAAATGGGCGGGGCGGATATGACGATCCGAGAGGGAGGAGTCAGGGTCACGAGGGGGAGAAGTTATAGCGGGGAGACAGGAAGCCATCTGGGTCAGTCGGGGGAGTGAAGTGTGGTGAACACGTTGGGTGGTCGCTGTGCCTCAGCCTGGTGGCTGAGGGGCTCATGACGGCGCCAGCCAGCGGGGTGGAAGAGAGAGTGGAGGATTGAGGTTGGAGATGGCGAGATAGCCACAGAGGCCACGAAGGGCTGAGGTAGGAGATGGCGAGATAGCCACAGAGGCCACGAAGGGCTGAGGTAGGAGATGGCGAGATAGCCACAGAGGCCACGAAGGGCTGACGTTGGGAGGCGGCGAGATCGCCACGCACGGAGGAACAGGGAGCAGCGATGGAGCTACTGTGAGAGCAGCCAGAGGGCTGCACCAAGAGCCTGCAGCGGAGCTGCAGGAGCGCGGAAGGCTACGGGAGCGAAGGCAGATGTGGAGCTGCCAGGCAGAGAGTCTCAGGAGGAGTGCCGTGAGGGAAGGAGAACGCGAACCCCAAATAAAGGACACGGAGTCAGAGAGAAGCGTCTGAGTCCTTTATTACATATAGGACGAATTTGCTTTCATTTCTATAATCCGCATGAGGCGCCACAGGTGTACTCGGTGGAACGTGGCACCTTCTCCAGACCACCTCCAGGCGATTCCTCATATCCGTACAAAGTCTCAGACAACGGCACGATGTTGCCGCTCCATGTCGTTGTAAGTACGTATGTTGAACTTCTTTTGCACCGTGCGTAGCCAACAGCGATAATCGGAGGAGTGGCGGGGGGGGGACGGACAACAAACTAAACAGAAAAACAACAACTCGAAAGAAGTGAGTTTTCAATCTAGATGATGATTTTAAAGTGCATAACTCCAGTGGCTTCCTAATATCAGAAGGTAGGAGCGTTCCAGACGGCCACATAAGCGCATCTGGAAGCGCCGCGCGATGCGGTGACCGTCTTTGTTCGATGTCCAGCCAAAATCAGCTGCTGCGAAGATGATGAACGTGGTCCAGCAACTGGTAAATCGGCCACGAGTCGCTAATCCGAGAACGCTGCCTGACCTGGCCAAGGCCACGTGACCTTCTCTGAGGCCAGCACACGTGGCCTCAGAGACGGTCCCAGCTTGGCCTTTATAGACACGTACAGCCAAACTGTCAATCCACTGCTGGATGAAGGCCTTTATGTGGGTCCCAGAAAATGGGCAAACGAAGGGGGGGGGAGTGGGGGCTGTATTGGATAGCGTCTACCAAGTGGTTAGGGGCCGTCCATAAATGACGTCATGCGATTTTGGACAATTTTTCACCCCCCCCCTCCGTCGTCACACGGCGTCACAAAAAGTTAGACCCCCCCCTCAAATATGACGTCACAAAGCTCTGCCCCCCCCCCAAAAAACCATCCTTCAAATCGCTTTAAACTCTTGTCATTGTAGTGCGTATTTAATGTGGCGCTGCACTCTGATGTTGTAGGAGAAAACATTTATTAAAAAGTCTATTTAATTAAGTAGAACGTGTTGTCTATATTTATTTAAAGTTGCGCATTTTGATGTGACGTCACATTTCTCAACCCCCCCCCCCCTCGTCACACATCGTCACAAATGTCTGACCCCCCCTCCTAGGTGCGTGACGTCATTTATGGACAGATTAGGTATTTAAGAGAGTTGCCACTTCTTCGGCATTGCTTCATCTTATCCTTACACGTGTGGTTCACTTTACTTATCGATCCTCGGACAATAGCAGCACACTGATAACAGGAAGTCACCGGATTGCTTTGGGCGAGTGGATAATATGAATAATGGATAAGAATGGCTCGGACAAGAGCTGTTACTACTGTAACATCAACTGCAACAACAATGTACGACTTATTTGTATTTAAACATTGCAGAGCGATGCTGCAGAATGTAGGTTAATCCAAGGATGGGACGTGCGTTTATTTAACTGACCGTGGCATTACACTTGAACAGAAACACATCCCGGATGCGTTCATTTGCGCCGATGTCCTTTCAATTGTTTCCCTGTAAATTCATTTGCGGGCAATCGAAAGCAATTGCGGCGGTACCGTCTTGGGGACACGTCGCAAGGCCTCGTCGCTAGCTTGCCAGGCGGATGAGATGCGCCGTGGTTCATCACGTACCGCACTGTGTTTGCAATGTCCTAGCTCCGCTTACAAAGAGGACGTAGCCGTACAGTAATGCAACCCAAGAGCGTTGACTAAGCGCCAGCAATGTGCCCAAGTCTCATCAGAGATCGGCAGATCGGCAGATTTGGAGCCTGGATCATTCTTGCGTACAGCAATAACACGAGCAACTCTTTTTTAATGGAATGAAAGGGGCGGGGGGGGGGGGGGTCAACAGCGGATGTCCGATGGATAAACTCACCACCGCCATATCAACGTGGAATTATTCCACTCCACCGCCTCAGCGATGTAAATACGGGCTTGTGCATCGTGAGCGGAATGCCGTTCTTGACTTTCTTCTGACACAACAGGCGTTGTGTGTTTGGGTACAAGCCATCTCGGGGTCACACTGTGGGCAGGCATTACAATGGTTGTACTCTACTCCTATGCTCTCCGCCAAACCCACACTAAACAAGCGTGAGAGTGACGGACACGTGGTGGTGTGGAGCGTGGACGCCTTCATCCAGCAGCGCATTGACGCTGATTGCTGTCACGGCACGCGGGGTGACCCCCCCCCCCCCCAGATGGCTGCAGGAGGCAGCGACGTTCACCCCCCCCCCGCCCCCCGCGGGGCATCTGCCGAGCGGTGAAGGCGCAGCCCCGCAACAGCTCGCTCACGCCGCTGCCGGCAGAAGCGCCTCCATGAGCGAGAGGGAGAGGACTCTCGACCAGGGTCGACTCGACCAGGGTCGACTCGACCAGGGTCGACTCGACCAGGGTCGACTCGACCAGGGTCGACTCGACCAGGGTCGACTCGACCAGGGTCGACTCGACCAGGGTCGACTCGACCAGGGTCGACTCGACCAGGGTGAACGACGCTCGCGTCACATCCCCGGCGGGCAACGTCAACGTCTCGCGCGTTACAGTCTTGTGTGATCCTCCATCCCTCCCTCCACCCTTCACCCTTCACCCATTCACTCGCTCGCTCACTCACCCACTCACTCACCCATTCACTCACTCACCCATTCACTCACCCAGTCACTCGCTCACTCGCTCACTCACATTCACTCACTCGCTCACCCACTCACCCATTCACTCGCTCACTCACCCACTCACTCACCCACTCACTCACCCATTCACTCGCTCGCTCACTCATACATTCACTCACTCGCTCACCCACTCACCCATTCACTTGCTCACCCATTCACTCGCTCACCCATTCACTCGCTCACTCACCCATTCATTCACTCACCCATTCATTCACTCGCTCACCCATTCACTCACTCGCTCGCTCCACCATCCTTGTTGGCGCAGACATCGCTCCCACTCGGCCAGGCGCGTCTCACCCCACGACGAGGAAGACGGCGACCACCAGCAGGAAGTAGTTGCTCTGGTAGTACTGCAGGTTCCGCACCACGCGAGACCTCCACTTGGGCCAGTTGCCCGCCTCGGGCAGCGCGAAGCGAGCGGAGCCCGTCACTAAGTCGTCCGCGCTTCGCAGCGGCGGGAACTGCACGCTCGACGGCATTTGCGACGTTTCGCGCTCGGGGCCTCGCCACACCACCCCCGTCTCGCGCGGCAACTGCGCACGCGGCGGCGGCAGCAGCAGCAAAGCACGCGGAGTCCCCTCCTCCTCGCCTGCGGCGGAGAGAGGCGGTGGTGGTGGGCCAAGAGAACAGCGACACGCTGGGTGGGGTGGGGAGGGGTGGTGACGATGGTGGTAGAGGGGAGGGGTGGGGTGGTGATGATGGTGGTGGAGGGGAGGGGTGGGGTGGTGATGATGGTGGTGGAGGGGTGATGGTGGTGAAGGGGTGATGGTAGAGGGGAGGTGTGGGGTGATGGTGGTGGAGGGGTGGGGTGGTGGAGGGGTGGGGTGATGGTGGTGATGGAGGGGAGGGGTGGGGTGATGGTGGTGAAGGGGTGATGGTGGAGGGGTGGTGGTGGTGGAGGGGTGATGGAGGGGTGGGGTGATGATGGTGGTGGAGGGGAGGGGTGATGGTGGATGGGAGGGGTGATGGTGGTGGAGGGGTGGGGTGATGGTGGGGATGGTGGTGGTGGAGAGGTGATGGTGATGGTTGAGGGGAGGGGTGATGGTGGAGGGGAGGGGTGATGGTGGTGGAGGGGTGGGGTGATGGTGGAGATGGTGATGGTGGAGGGGTGGGGTGATGGTGGGGATGGTGGTCGTGGAGGGGAGGGGTGATGGTGGGGATGGTGGTGGAGGGGTGATGGAGGGGTGGGGTGATGGTGGTGATGATGGTGGTGGAGGGGAGGGGTGGGGTGGTGGAGGGGTGATGGTGATGGTGGTGGAGGGGAGGGGGTGGTGCCGTCACAGTCGCCATCAGCAGCAGCTGACCCCTCCCCCCGGGGTGAGTTCTCGCTCCAGCCGACGTCAGGCGCACGTTGACGAGTGACAGGCGGAGTGCCACGTGGTTCCCAGGGCAGCACAGACTGTTGTTGTTGTTGTTTAACACGTCCAAGTAGTAGTCGTCGTAGGATTTCGCGATCTAGCCAAACAACCTTTATTATGAATAATTATATCATCCATGAATCCATGATACAGGGGTTTTTTGTCGGGGGGGGGGGTTAGATCTACTGCCACGCGATATAAATGTGGCTGTCGCCTGATGAAGCCTGTTGTGATTACTGCGAAACGTCGTGCTCAGATTGTACATGTTGTGGCTTGGCTCTCCAACACACCGGTGGGTGCTGTACTAGTATAGTACACTATATACTACACTATATACACTACTCTATACACTACACTACTCTACACTACACACTAGTGCTGTACTAGTACACTACACTATACACAACTCTACACTATACACTACTCTACACTACACACTAGTGCTGTACTAGTACACTACACACTACACTACTCTACACTACACACCAGTGCTGTACTAGTACACTACACTATACACTACTCTACACTACACACTAGTGATGTACTAGTACACTACACTATACACTACACTACTATACACTCCACTATACACTACTCTACACTATACACTCCACTATACACTACTCTACACTATACACTCCACTATACACTACTCTACACTATACACTACACTATACACTACACACTAGTGCTGTACTAGTGACGAATTGGCCACGTTCTGTTTACGTGACAACCCTTTCTAGTTGGCTGTGTCGGGTGGTGGCGGGTCTAACGACACATTTACGCGATCTCACCCAAAAAACCCGTGTTGTGGTTGTGCACCTACGAATTGCGGCACGGCACGCGAGGGGGTGGATGGCCAACGCCACGCCCGGCCGCCTTTGTCTCTCCCCAGTGGCGATGTTTGCACACCGCGGCAGGCACTCGTTTAAGGCCGAGTCGACCTAGGGGGAGGCCAATGACCGGTTCAGATAATCGTCGCCGGTGTTGGCCGTGAGCGGGAATAATCAAACTCAGGTCGCCGGGGTTCGTCGGGTGGCGCGCTAACCGCTGCACCACCGCTCCCCCGGGGAGATCGTACACACCACACACAATGATGATGCACGATGATGCACGATGAAACAATGACACGGGCGCTTCGTAGCCGAAGCCGACACCGATCTCCCTCCCACCACACCGGCACCCTGCTCTGGCGAACATTCAGCAACCAGAAATCCGCAAAGACGACGACAAACCACGACTGGACATGTCACAAAAAAGAGCTTCATCACTTATCGGATTCCTCCATTATAAATATTCTGATTCTCACATACACATCAATGACGTTGACCGCCTACTCAAGGCCTGATCCCACCCCTTCTGGGATCTCGCTGCTGCTGCTGCTGTCACCATCCTAGAATCTCACCACCCAGATCCGGAACAACGCTTGCTGCTGTGACAACAGTGGAACAACGCGGACGTCCACAATATATTTACCCTCTCGTTCGAGAGCCAAACGTCGTCATCATCATCGCACCTCCTGGAGGGCTTCGAGATTCCTCCTCGAAGGTCTCCGGCGGAACCATCAACGGCACCGGAACATCAGCAGGACAATGTGCACCACGACCTCAGTCGTGGGAGATTAATAAAGACACAAGCCACAGTTGTGTGCGACTGTGGCCATGCAACCCAAACTATGGACCATATCATGAACCCCTAGAGACACAGCAGAGGTCGCAAACGGGTTTTGATTCCTTACCACCAGGGTCGCAAACGGGTACCTGTACCCGGCCGTACCCTACCCATACCCGGCCGGGTAGGGTACGGGTATCGGGTACCTGATTGCGACCTCTGGGATGAAGCCATGTTGCAGGCGCGGGTGGGTTGATTCTAGGAACTTATATTGTGAGAAGAGACACAAGACGTTGGGAAATGAGTGACAAACGGTTACTCACCAGTGACTCACGGCCTACCCGTACCCGTACCCGGCAGGGTATCGGGTACCCGGTTGCGACCTCTGACACATAGATATACATTGCAGACAAGCCACAGTCGTGTGTGACTGGCCATGCAACCCAAACTATGGACCATACAGCAAACCACTATAATCTGCGCTCCTTAAACGGAGGGAGAGGCACACAATGTAAATTACACACCAAACGTTTGTGTATTTTGAATTGTTACGTTCAGATTACATCGAGGAAAGTACATGCCCCACCTTGTTTACACTGCAACACACAAACCGAGAGTTTCGAGGTCACACGTCATTAGTTCTTCATCACGGTTCATTAACCCAAAGTGTCACGACCACAAACAACACGCATTATCACAAACACAATTACAGATGCAGGGCAGAGCACATTGCTACGTAATTTTGCAAATAATGACCATGCACTGCATTATACCACGACCCCTCTTTGCGAACTTTCAAATGCAGGTGGTATATGCATTCGGATATTCCTTTATTTCAGTGCAACGTTGTGGTTCAATGTTTTTTTTTTATCATTTGAGCAAGAGGTGACCGGGTGGCTCAGAGGTCAGAGGGCTGTACTGGAACGGCTGAGAACCTGGGTTCGATCGTGGGTTCGATTTTCAGTGTGCAGAGTTTTCACTCCATCACCACGCAGGGTGCTGTGGAGTCATGTTGTGCTGCAGTTATCGCACGTGAACAGTTTCATTTAATGTGCACTCAACATGTTACAGGGTGGTACAATGGTTAGCGCACTGCACTATGAACTTGGTGACCTGAATGCGATTCCTGGCTATGGGTGATCACAGCAGCGTGAGGTGGGATCTGAACCGCTCCAGGGCATCAACAAAAATCCCAACGTTCAACCCGAACTGGCCAATGTGGTGAAGTATCGTCAACACACCCCGACGACATCAAGGCAAGTGGTGACCGTCATCCAACATTTGCATTGGCCAGTGGATAAAAAACAACACCTACTGGAGTCTGAACAGACAACCACCACCTTCAAACTTTTAACTGCAAAGTGCGCCCACTGTGGGAAGAGAACTGACGCACATCGGCCTTCTCCAGCCAGTCGCACGCAAGTCACGATACCAGCAACCACATCAGCATCATCATCTTCGGTCACAAAGGCCAATGGCAAGTGGACGACAGTTGATCATCGATTATCCGGCGTGCAATTATCCCGCTTCCAACATTATCCGGTGGTCCCGGGCCGATCCGGCGAAACTGGCAAACCGGCGATCGTCAAACACATGTTGTTGAAACAAGAGCGTCGTAGTACTGTACGTACATCACCCCATGATGAGATTGGAATGGTACAGTTAATACAGTACCTTTTTACAGTATGTTGATTTATGTCTATTTGTATGTTTATGTTTGCCAATCCTAATATGTAAACACCCAGCTCTATGATTCTGTCATTCTGTGATTAACGCGGCACGGATTGGTTGAAGTGAGTCACGTGACCGGGACCAAGCAGCCAACCAGAGGTGCGCCCCTCACAAACATGTACGCCCCCGAACAGGCACGGGTGGGATGACGTCCACAACCCGCGCGTCATCACGCACGTATGGGCGGTGACGTCAGCTCTCTTTCACAACACCTCAGCCGCGTTCATGTGTAATGACGTCACGCCTCCAACCACGACAAGCGCGCAGCCTGCGGTGGTCCTTCATCCAGCAGTGCATTTGAACACTAAAAAAAGTACAGTACTCATGTACAGTGCTGACTTTTTCCACTATGAAAGTTAAATTATATAACACACAGTTCTGTGTGTCATTCTGTCTGTCATTCTGTCACTAACGCGTAAACTTGCCAAAATATTTATATAGAAGAAACTAGGTGGTTGGGGGCGCCACAGGTGGCCCCCAACAACCTAGTTTCACATAGTAAACAAATGTAAAACACTAAAAAAACATACACGCCACCTAAAAACATGTAGTACAAGAATGTAAAAAAAATAAGATATTTTAAATCATGATTAGTGATTATCCTGTTTTAAAAAATCCGGCGCCCCCAAAGCCGCCGGATCAATGATCGAATTTTATTCAAATAACACAATTAAGCGCATAAGACAACAATTACATACGGTTAAAACAACAATTTACTAGCTCGCATAGTTCTATCGTAAACGCGCTCCAAGCTCACAAAAAAGTGCAAATGCGCTCATAGTTTACTGTTGCCTACAAGAATGGAAGTTCCCGTGGCGTTGGGGACACAACGATTTCCAACTCAGGCCACCTTCACAAAAAACAGCTTCTCAAACTCAAGTCCAAGTAGGGGGGTACGTGTTTACCAATCGCCACACA